TTTTGACTGCTTGTTGCTCTCTAACCGTCGTAGTATTCATTTAACTATCGCTCATAATTTCAGTCATTTATATACACTCTCCTTAATTCAACTCATTCCACAAAATTCATAATTCTTGTCTGTATCTTCCAAAGAGAGTAATAGTGAATGAGGGAACTACGCGACGCAAATAGTTGTTAGTAACAACCGTTTCACATGGTTCCGTTTCACATAGATCCCTAATTTTCAATAACAATTTGCTACTTATGTCCGAGCAAATACGAGCGCGTTGCCTACGGCCGCTATTACTCTGTAAAATATTTTAGTCAAATATCGTTTATAAAAAAAAATTACAGTATAATAGCTTATATTTTAGAAAAAATCTCTTTCAATTTTTTAAAATAAAAATGACCTCTGAAACATCCAAGTTTTATTACATTTGGAAACGTAGCGGCTGAGAAGTACACGTAGAATATTGCTTTGAGCAAACTTTTAATTGCAGAATATGAGCGATTAGAATGTTTATATTTTACTTTCCATCCGGACTATAAAAATAACTAGTAGTGCTACAACAGCACGTACTTTCTCGCGATAATGTCAATGATTATGTAGCACTATAATATGACAATTTCTGTTTGGGTATTAAGGCCGTAAATAAAATTATTAGTTTGTAATAACGCAAACGAATGGCAGTCATCGTTATCGCCTTCTGTTATTAGTGCGGTGTTGTAACAATGGATTGCAACAAGTAAAAATGACAACAATTCGTATAGGATACACTTTTGTCATTTGTTAATACCGCTAGCAAGAAAATGAAAAGTGATATAAAAATAATGATTAAATATAATATTTTTATATTCATCAAAATTACTCGATTCTTGAATGCATTTACTCTTCATTTCCACATCGTATTAATCAAAGCGAAACAATCTATTCGTTTTCATATTTAACTCATTTAAAGAACGCAATATAAAATAGGTTTTAAATAATTTCTAAAAAATTAAAACGTTTTTCAAAAGCTCGAATGTAAGAAACTAACAAAGAAATATGAAATAGTATAAAGATTCTAACTTGCGTAGCATCCAACTGTCTAGCATCACCATTAATTTTACTTTCACAAAGCACAGTAAATTTGGAGCGGGCGATTTTGTTTGACGCCAAATTAATAAAAAAATACTAATATTTTCGAAAAATTCAAAATCACCTTATTTGAAAATCTGTTTTTGTGGAACACATTTCATTAAGAAAAACTTTATCTTTATAGTAATAGTTGTGGGAAGACGCCAAACAAATTTGGTATTTTTTCAATTTTTGAAAAATCATGGTTTTCAACGAACATGAGATCAGCGCAATTCTCTTAAACGTCCTTCGAATTATCCAAGAACAAAGTTAAATAAAAAATGATGGAGCTATTTTTTGAAAGGTTTGAAAACGTCTCAGGGGCTTCATGTAAAGTAACCCTCCCCCCCCACAAAAAATGAAAATATCGATTTCAAATTCAAAGGACTACGACATCAGCCAGATCGATTGTGGAATATCAGTTTTAGAGGAAATCGGCAGAACGGTTTAGACGCATTGTTCACGCACAGACGCGTACACTGGAACAGAAAGCCAGGCAGTCGTCTGTTCAAGATGTAACAAAACCGCTGTCCGTTAAGAACTGAAAACAATGAATTGTGGCTATAGAGAGCGTATGAGTACATTTATTCTAAAAAAATGTATTTCATATTTATATGATACACGCAGCAATTAACACGAAGAATCTCGATCTACCTTTTATCAGTCATATCAGTAATTATCAGGCAATAATGACTATTACAGGCTCGTTCTTGTTTGCTACGAAAGTACTTCATCCGTCAGTTTCTCAACACTTTCCGTCTCGTGCGCCGAAGCGACCATTCGCCCTCTGTGGAACGCGCCTCCTCGGGAAGCCCCTGAAGGGCCGCAGGGCTCGGCTCTTATGCCCCTACATCCGCCCATCCCCCCGCCTCCCCCCCGCTGCGGGCCCATAAATCGGGCGCGTCCGCCCCGCCCGCCGCCTTAACTGCAGTTTTAAGATGAAATATTCGCGGAACAGAGAATGACCAAAAACAGGGTTTTGTGAGCGTTTAACAAACATAAATATGATTAAAGATTCTTCGCGTCGCGTCGCGCCTCGCGATGCCCGAGCTGCGTGCGCGTGGTCGGCGCGTGGGCGAGCGAACGGATCGAGAAACGAAAGGCCCCCGGGGTGGCAGAGGGCGGTGCGGTGGGCGGGTGAAAGGTTTTGTCAGAGAGCGGGGCGCACGTTTAGCGCGAGGATTGGTGACCGGCCGGGTGAGCAAGATGATGTTTGAAAAGTGTATGGAGAAAGGTCGGATGTTGACATGAGAGACTGGGCGAGTGGTTTGCCAAGGAGACGGGGGTGTAGTAAAAACGTGGAAGCGAATGCTGGAGCAGTTTTCTAAGAAATGGGATTCGGAGCGCGCGCAACATTCCTTTCGTCATTCCTTGATCCCCTCATCTCTCCTTAAAAACAAACTCGCATATATAACCAATAGACAACTACATAGAAAACTATACACAGAATAAATTACAGTCTATATTTCCTTACTGTCGTCCACATTATTTTCTAACCTCCAAACTGCCTAATGCACCAGCCACTTCAACCTCGGAAAACCAGTGTTGCTCCTACAATAATTAAATCCCGTCACTCAAAAAATCCGTTCTGCCCCCAAAAGCTAGAGAAAATTCCACTCTATATCTTGCTTACTTTTTTGTAACATTTAATTTCTCAAAATTAACAAAAAATCATCTTAGAGGTACCCAGTGAAGATGTCCTCGTTCAGTAATGGGGGTAAGATAGTGCAAAAATTTATAGTTATTTTAATTAAAACTAATACTCACTTGTAAAGTGGTAATTACACTGATGTGGTAATTTTGTAAACTCACATGCCTTGCACTATAACACATGGTGGGAGGCTGGTCGGTTAGCGTAGGGATGATGACCTCTTGAGGACTTTCCTCGGAGGAGCACCCGCAAACCAATGGCCCGTCGGCGCGAGATCTGATTGGATGAAATTAATTAAGAGAAATTTGAACAGAAAAAATGTATTGTTACATCATCGTGATGCGGGTGGGTTGCTCGGAGAAACATGTTGACTGGACTCTAGATGGCGTTCAAATAAACCTAACGAGACGCCTCACGCAAGTATGAGTCGATCGCACAAGGTAAAGTGGGCACGATCTTACAAAGCGGGGATGCAGGCGAAGTAGCCAAATGAACGGTTGAGCTGGTGGATACTGAGAATGTTGATGGATCTGTGTGTTAGTGGGGTGGTGAGCAGGGCGCAGGAGACGGCGCGCGCGCTGTGCTCTCTCGCCTTGTGATAAACTTGCGAGGGCCCGTGGGGCTGCGCGCGTGCTGGAGTCGCCGGGCTCCGCCTCGCCTCCCGTCGCCTCTCCGCAAGGAAGCGCAGCCAATGCGCTGGATGGGGCCGGAGAGCTGCAGCTGGGGCCCTCCCCCTTCCCACCTCTTCATGCCCTCTCCAGCCTCACTTCGCATTTCACGTCCCCTAGCGTCCCCGCTGAACTCTCAGTCGCTCACATTCCCCGCCTCCCGCAGCTTCACGTCTTACGTCCCTGCTTTCCCAATGTTCTCCTCCCAGCTCTCCGTCGCTCTCAATGCTTCTCTCGCCCTTCCCTCTTGCATCCTCGCCTCTTTCATCTTCGCCTCTTCTATCTTTGCCTCTTCCATCTTCGCCTCTCCCATTATCGACTCTTCCATCTTTGCCTCTCCCATCTTCGCCTCTTCCATCTTTGCCTCTTCCATCTTCGCCTCTCCCATCTTCGCCTCTCCTATCTTCGCCTCTGCCATCTTCGCCTCTTCCATCTTCCCTCTTTCATCTTCCATCTTCCATCTTCCATCTTCCCTATTCCCTCTTCCATCTACCCTCTTCCATCTTCCCTCTTCCATCTTCCCTTTTTTCATCTACCCTCTTCCATCTTCCCTCTTCCATCTTCCCACTTCCATCTTCCCTCTTCCATCTTCCCTCTTCCCTCTTCCATCTTCCCTCTTCCATCCTCCCTCTTCCATCTTAGCCTGTTCCATCTTAGCCTGTTCCATCTTAGCCTGTTCCATATTAGCCGGTTCCATCTTAGCCTGTTCCATCTTAGCCTGTTCCATCTTAGCCTGTTCCATCTTAGCCTGTTCCATCTTAGCCTCTTCCATCTTAGCCTCTTCCA